GACCGATCCGAGGGGTAAGTTGGCACTCTTCTTCTCATTGTAAAACTTCTGTAAGTGTACCCTTATTTTCTATTAATGTAGCAGTATATTAAATTTGTTATCCCTGAATTTGCTGGCTGGAGTTCGGAAGTTGACCGATATAAAAATATATATGGCCACGTGCGTTTAACCTTACCTTTACAAGTTAGTACTGAAGCTAATAACTAAATGCGGTGTACTTTGTAAACCATCGTAACTGAATTATATTAATATTAATATTTAATTCAGTTAATAAATTCTGAAGGGCCCACGTGTTCCTTTTTTTGCACACGCTTATGAGGGCTTTTACTATCTTCCCCCAGTCCTGCGGCATTTTTCATAACACCAACGACTCAACGATTAGTACACAATTGTACAGATTGTCATGTCGCCATAGAATCGGCACGGACAAAAAGACAGTTTAAGGGATTTAATCCCAGTATTCATAACGACTACTAATCGTATTTTTAACCGACCACGTGTCCTATTTTCTAAACGACCACGTGTCGTATCTGAACTTGAACATCAGCGGTGGATTATCTACAAGAGGATATCACAAGAAATAAGATCTATAAGAAGCCAAGTGTTCCGGTTTCCCCATCAAGTCCAACCTTTGGGAGTATCCACGGGTGAGCTGTACTCGTGCGGGGAAGGAACTGGACCCAGTAGACATTTCTCTTACCTGATGATGAGAACCATTTGGTTTAAAAACAAACACCAAACCACTGTCAATTTTTAGCCAGTCAGCTGCCAGTAAAATTAAAGCTACATCATTCTTCATTCACTACTACTCTCGTCTGTCTTTGTTGCTGTGCGTGAGTAATAGGTGAGTGAGCGAGAAGGGGGCATTCTTTGCTTTCTCTCTGGGAGCTCTTTCTTTAAAAGTGGCAGAGGAGTTGCCACCAGGATAACTAGTTTGCCTAGCACCACACCATCGGAGCGGGGTAGACTTATCTTCTTGTCCTCTGTCCCAGGAATAATATCTCGGTCTCTCTACCCTAGTAGACAATGAAGTACCATACTTCTAGTGAGCCACAAATATAGACTGAAGATATCTCCTGTATAGGAACCCTACCCTTCCTAGGGCATGGGACATAATTTTAAAAATTATTATCTTTAAATTATTTTTATAATTCTATTCAAAGGGCTGTAACTGTTAATATTTATTATTGTTAAATTATTTACCTTAATTGTTTTTATAAAAAAGGACGTAACTTAATATTTTTTTCTTTAATTTATTCCCCTTTATGTTTATGAAGAGGAACGTAACTTAATAGTTTTTTATGTAAAGAGACATAACTTAATTTGTGTTATTAAACTATATTTTGTTGCTTTAACTCGTTCGCTAAGCCTGTCCTTGAAATTTAGCCTTAAAATAATATAATTTATGGGTATGTTGGTCTATATTGTCTACCCATTATTTTCTATTTCACTTATTTAAATTTAATTACTTGTAGAAACAACAGCTATTCAAATGTTGTCCACCAGATAATAGACACTCTGAGCTTGCCTGGGGCAAATTCATTACATGGAACTGGTTTCCCACTTTTGGACGCATATTTTGTGTTAGGGACGTCAATGTCATGAGTATGGGGTCAAAGGGAGCCAACTTTGTGCCCCTGTAAGAAAAAAAAAATGGCGTTACGACATAACAACTCAAGAAACAAACAGTAGCATAAAAACAATGCTTAAGTAGATACCGTGGTTATGAGAGCTCTCACATTCACATGGACTATGTACGTTTTTGAGTGTGTAGATTTCACCATAAACATAAGATGCTGCCAAAGACAAGCCATGATACAGAGCAGACTGTATTAACAATGAGGACACTAGTTTCGTGGCATTTACTGTCTGTGTTTCTCCTGATTTTGACTGTCATGTTTTCCCATGTGTCTTCAACAAATTTAGATGCTGGTAGGCCTGGTGAGGTGACACCAGACCTTGATGTCACAACTACACCAGACAACTCCTCAGGCAATGGCAGTGAGAACACCAGTGGTCCCAGGGCAGTGGAATGTAGGATCAGTGTGGAAGAGGTGTGCAGCGAGAAGCTTGAGTGCAGCCAGCTGAGTGTATTGACTGTGATTTTAATGTGTCTTGCTTATACGGGACCAAGCAAAGAGCTTCTTGTATGCCAAAGCCAAGTGTGAACTGCTCAGGGAGTCAGAAATTTGAAAGAGAGTATGATTGCCTCTGTTGTTATCAGTTACCACGATGGGACACCTGGTGTAATCAGACGGTGGAGTGTGCCCTTAATAAACCCCGAAACTATTACCCAGCAAGGCCATTTTTTGTGAGCACCTGTTGGGCAAAGAGTCAGCATTTATGCATGGGGCGTAGATGCTTTCACAAACAGATTCCTTGCAATTGGTCACAAGGATACAAATGGTCAACAGCACTGCTTCTAAGTATTTTCTTGGGAGGGTTTGGAGTTGATCGATTCTACCTCGGTTTGTGGATAGAAGGAATTGGAAAACTTCTCAGCTTCGGTGGACTTGGCGTCTGGACTTTAGTGGATGTGATTCTCATAGCTGTTGGATATGTAGGGCCTTGGGATGGCTCACTGTATATATGATGTGTGCCTGAGAAGTGTACATGTGTGCCTGAGATGTGTACATGTGTGCCTGAGAAGTGTACATGTGACAAAATATAAATAAAAATATATAAATTTGGTAATAAATATATGACTGTCAAATAAAAAATAAAAAAAAAAGAGAAAAAAAAATGTCATGAGTATAGGGTCAAAGGGAGCCAACTTTGAGCTTTTGAGACACGTTCACAGCCACTAAAGCATTATTCACCACTAAAATACATGAATCAATAACCAACAAAACATCTAATGAACACTTAAACATTTCAAAGGACTCGAACTCAGAACTTCCGTATTACAAAGCATGTTCGCAACCACTGATAAATACCTAAAAGCAAGCATTAACCCTTTCAGAGAGGGTTTGAGGGCGGGGTTTTCCTCTATCTGGAGGGTTACCTCACCCCCGGAGGTTTTTTTTCTTTGTCCCATGTTGAGGGTTTTCTTAGGAGGGAGTATTTTTCCTATATTTTCAATGCTGAGGGTTATTAGTATAAAGAGTATGGGGTTAAACGGGACCAACCTTGGGTTCTCAGCGGGTTAAAGGGGTACAACCTTGGGTTTTCAGCTGGTCAAAGTGGTCCAACCCTAGGTTTTCAGCCCCTCTGGAGGGCTTTTTCTTCTTTGGCCCATGTTGAGGGACCCTCCGGAGGGTTGAGAGTTTTTTCTTCTTTGTGCTATGTTGAGGGACCCTCCGGAGGGTGAGGGAATGAGTATTTTCCTCTATTTTCAATGCTGAGGGTTTTTAATTTAGCCTAAAGAGCAAACACCCAAGAAATATACGGTGGATTCTTTACCTACTATACTACTATTTCTATTTTGTTACATAAACCGTCTCAACACTATATATCACGGGGTCCTAGTACCTCGCCTCTGACTAGTCGATACATGATATGACTGTCAACTAAGCACCCACACCTAACATTGTGAGATAACACCTACCATAGCATACCACTCTATGCCCAGGCGACCCAAATGGCTCTCAGTGACCCCTAAGTCACCTCGTGCTAATAGCTGATACAACTTTAGCTTTCGTTGATTGGTCAGCGTCCAATCCTATTATATGACACCTGCAACTGTTCCCACTTTTTCCCTCTATACAAATCATACCACTATATTTTCAGGCGAGCCAGATGACCCCTAAGACACCTCATGTAAATAGCTGATACAAGCGTTCGGGGGAGCGGCCGGCAATTATGATATAACACCCGCCACTTTTTCCCAATTTGTCCCTCTATACAAATCATACCACTATATGTCCAGGCGAACCAGATGACCCCTAAGACACCTCTTGTAAATAGCTGATACAAGCGTTCGGGGAGCGGCCGCCAAAAATGATATGACACCCGCTACTTTTTTTCAGTTTTTCTCTATATACAAGTTATACCACCCTATGTGCCTATGCTGCCTAGATGATTTTCATTGATCCCTAAAACACTTCATGTAAATAGCTGATACAACTTAAACATTCGGGAGCGGCTGGCAACTATGACATGACACTCACCACCTTTTTCAGTTTTCTCTCTACGCGCGTCGTACTACCCTATGTGTCCAGACGGCACAGAGGCTTTTCACTGATCTCAACACCAACAGACGTTTGTCTAAAATTTTGAGACTGCGGACAACAACTGGTCTATTACTTATCTACATGAGACTGCTAGGGGTCCCTGGCCACTTACAAATAGAAGGTGTCTACGTTCACTTTGTTTTCATGGGACATAATTTTAAAAATTATTATCTTTAAATTATTTTTATAATTCTATTCAAAGGGCTGTAACTTAATATTTATTATTGTAAAATTATTTACCTTAATTGTTTTTATAAAAAAGGACGTAACTTAATATTTTTTTCTTTAATTTATTCCCCTTAATGTTTATGAAAAGGAACGTAACTTAATAGTTATTATGTAAAGAGACATAACTTAATTTGTGTTATTAAACTATATTTTGTTGCTTTACCTCGTTCACTAAGCCTGTCCTTGAAATTTAGCCTTAAAATAATATAATTTATGGGTATGTTGGTCTATATTGTCTACCCATTATTTTCTATTTCACTTATTTAAATTTAATTACTTGTATAAACAACAGATATTTAAATGTTGTTCACCAGATAATAGACGCTCTGAGCTTGCCTGGGGCAAATTCATTACATGGAACTGGTTTCCCACTTTTGGACGCATATTTTGTGTCAGGGACGTCAATGTCATGAGTATGGGGTCAAAGGGAGCCAACTTTGTGCCCCTGTAAGGAAAAAAAATTGCGTTACGACATAACAACTCAAGAAACAAACAGTAGCATAAAAACAATGTTTAAGTAGAGACCGTGGTTATGAGAGCCCTCACATTCACATGGACTATGTAGGTTTTTGAGTGTGTAGATTTCACCATAAACATAAGATGCTGCCAAAGACAAGCCATGTCACAGAGCAGACTGTATTAACAATGAGGACACTAGTTTCGTGGCATTTACTGTCCGTGTTTCTCCTGATTTTGACTGTCATGTTTTCCCATGTGTCTTCAACAAATTTAGATGCTGGTAGGCCTGGTGAGGTGACACCAGACCTTGATGTCACAACTACACCAGACAACTCCTCAGGCAATGACAGTGAGAACACCAGTGGTCCCAGGGCAGTGGAATGTAGGATCAGTATGAAAGAGGTGTGCAGCGAGAAGCTTGAGTGCAGCCAGCTGAGTGTATTGACTGTGATTTTAATGTGTCTTGCTTATACGGGACCAAGCAAAGAGCTTATTGTATGCCAAAGCCAAGTGTGAACTGCTCAGGGAGTCAGAAATTTGAAAGAGAGTATGATTGCCTCTATTGTTATCAGTTACCACGATGGGACACATGGTGTAATCAGACGGTGGAGTGTGCCCTTAATAAACCCCGAAACTATTACCCAGCAAGGCCATTTTTTGTGAGCACCTGTTGGGCAAAGAGTCAGCATTTATGCATGGGGCGTAGATGCTTTCACAAACAGATTCCTTGCAATTGGTTACAAGGATACAGATCGTCAACAGCACTGCTTCTAAGTATTTTCTTGGGAGGGTTTGGAGTTGATCGATTCTACCTCGGGTTGTGGAGAGAAGGAATTGGAAAACTTCTCAGCTTCGGTGGACTTGGCGTCTGGACTTTAGTTGATGTGATTCTCATAGCTGTTGGATATGTAGGGCCTTGGGATGGCTCACTGTATATATGATGTGTGCCTGAGAAGTGTACATGTGTGCCTGAGATGTGTACATGTGTGCCTGAGAAGTGTACATGTAACAAAATATAAATAAAAATATATAAATTTGGTAATAAATATATGTCTGTCAAATAAAAAAAAAAAAAAAGAAAAAGTAAAAAAAAAAAGAGAAAAAAAAAATGTCATGAGTATAGGGTCAAAGGGAGCCAACTTTGAGCTTTTGAGGCACGTTCACAGCCACTAAAGCATTATTCACCACTAAAATACATGAATCAATAACCAACAAAACATCTAATGAACACTTAAACATTTCAAAGGACTCGAACTCAGAACTTCCTATTACAAAGCATGTTCGCAACCACTGATAAATACCTAAAAGCAAGCATTAACCCTTTCAGAGAGTGTTGGAGGGCGGGGTTTTCCTCTATCTGGAGGGTTACCTCACCCCCGGAGGTTTTTTTTTTCTTTGTCCCATGTTGAGGGTTTTCTTAGGAGGGAGTATTTTTCCTATATTTTCAATGCTGAGGGTTATTAGTATAAAGAGTATGGGGTTAAACGGGACCAACCTTGGGTTCTCAGCGGGTTAAAGGGGTACAACCTTGGGTTTTCAGCTGGTCAAAGTGGTCCAACCCTAGGTTTTCAGCCCCTCTGGAGGGCTTTTTCTTCTTTAGCCCATGTTGAGGGACCCTTCGGAGGGTTGAGAGTTTTTTCTTCTTTGTGCTATGTTGAGGGACCCTCCGGAGGGTGAGGGAATGAGTATTTTCCTCTATTTTCAATGCTGAGGGTTTTTAGTTTAGCCTAAAGAGCAAAAACCCAAGAAATACACGGTGGATTCTTTACCTACTATACTACTATTTCTATTTTGTTATATAAACCGTCTCAACACTATATATCACGGGGTCCTAGTACCTCGCCTCTGACTAGTCGATACATGATATGACTGTCAACTAAGCACCCACACCTAACATTGTGAGATAACACCTACCATAGCATACCACTCTATGCCCAGGCGACCCAAATGGCTCTCGGTGACCCCTAAATCACCTCGTGTGAATAGCTGATACAACTTTAGCTTTCGTTGATTGGTCAGCGTCCAATCCTATTATATGACACCTGCAACTGTTCCCACTTTTTCCCTCTATACAAATCATACCACTATATTTTCAGGCGAGCCAGATGACCCTAAGACACCTCATGAAAATAGCTGATACAAGCGTTCGGGGAGCGGCCGGCAATTATGATATAACACCCGCCACTTTTTCCCAATTTGTCCCTCTATACAAATCATACCACTATATGTCCAGGCGAACCATATGACCACTAACACACCTCTTGTAAATAGCTGATACAAGCGTTCGGGGAGCGGCCGGCAAAAATGATATAACACCCGCTACATTTTTTCAGTTTTTCTCTATATACAAGTTATACCACCCTATGTGCCTATGCTGCCTAGATGATTTTCATTGATCCCTAAAACACTTCATGTAAATAGCTGATACAACTTAAACATTCGGGAGCGGCTGGCAACTATGACATGACACTCACCGCCTTTTGAGGCACGTTCACAGCCACTAAAGCATTATTCACCACTAAAATACATGAATCAATAACCAACAAAACATCTAATGAACACTTATACATTTCAAAGGACTCGAACTCAGAACTTCCGTATTACAAAGCATGTTCGCAACCACTGATAAATACCTAAAAGCAAGCATTAACCCTTTCAGAGAGGGTTTGAGGGCGGGGTTTTCCTCTATCTTGAGGGTTACTTCACCCCCGGGTTTTTTTTTCTTCTTTGTCCCATGTTGAGGGTTTCCTCGGAGGGAGTATTTTTCCTATATTTTCAATGCTGAGGGTTATTAGTATAAAGATTATGGGGTTAAACGGGTCCAACCTTGGGTTCTCAGCGGGTTAAAGGAAGGGGTGCAACCTTGGGTTTTCAGCGGGTCAAAGTGGTCCAACCCTGGGTTTTCAGCCCCCCTGCAGGGTTTTTTTCTTCTTTGGCCCATGTTGAGGGACCCTCCGGAGGGTTGAGAGTTTTTTCTTCTTTGTGCCATGTTGAGGGACCCTCCGGAGGGTGAGGGAATAAGTATGTTCCTCTATTTTCAATGCTGAGGGTTAATAGTATAGCCTAAAGAGCAAAAAACAAAGAAATATACGGTGGATTCTTTACCTACTATACTACTCCTGCAAACACTTGGTGTCACCAACTGGAAAGAGAGGGCCAGCCCAGGGCCCAATGCAGGCGGGTGAGATCTGCAGCAATGAACCTTGAGGAAGAAGAAGAAGAAGAAGAAGAAGAAGAAGAAGAAGAAGAAGAAGAAGAAGAAGAAGAAGAAGAAGAAGAAGAAGAAGAAGAAGAAGAAGAAAAAGAAAAAGAAACGAACCCACGACCTTTAGAACGCGAGGCAAAAATTAACGCTCACAAACGCAACCGGAATGGGGTTTTAGAATAACCGTAAACTTGCGGCTCATATTGGGCGAGATAATTCATAAGCAAAAAGAGAATACACAATATGTATTGATGAATTCTTATGTGTATAGAATAGCATGTCGGCATCTGTGGCTTGGGCGTTGCGAAGGCGCTCTGTAATGCCGGAGTGTCGGGTTCGATCCCAGCTGCGGGCCTTTTGACTTGTTTGGTTTCGTCAGTGGCATCGAGAAGCCGACCGTCCAATGAGCAATGGCTAACTACTGGACGTAAAACCATAACAGCCAAAAAATGATGGGGTTGGTTCTGCAACGTCCTGTAAAAGATGCGCAACTAACTTTACAAATAGAATGACATACAACATATACTGAGCACATTCTGAAAGTGTAAACACTGCCATAATCTTATACAAAAATGTGCACCCAGCTAAAAACGTACACGTTCCCTATAATCAAACAAGCCCAACAGACAGGCCCCAATAATCTATAGGCCCTCGCCACGGTTGGTCACACACAAAGAAGGTTTCTGACCTGGCTCCGATCGTGTGCAGCGGGACCCGGTGAGGGAATCTCCAGTTGCTGCTATCTTTTCTTCGTGCCCGCTGGTGCGATGATGGGAAATCAATTCACGTCCCACTTGTAATTTTGGTGGTGGTGGAGAAGTGGGTGGTGGTGGTGGGGGTGGGGGTGTTCCGCAGAAAGATCTGGATGGAGAGAAATGAAATGGAGGGTAAGCGAGAGAGATGGAGAGAAAGAGATAGAGAGAGAGAGTGAAAGCGATAGAGAGAGAGAGAGAGAGAGAGAGAGAGAGAGAGAGAGAGAGAGAAAGCGATAGAGAGAGAGAGTGAAAGCGATAGATAGATAGATAGATAGATAGATAGATAGATAGATAGATAGATAGATAGATAGATAGATAGATAGATAGATAGATAGATAGATAGATAGATAGATAGATAGATAGATAGATAGATAGATAGATAGATAGATAGATAGATAGATAGATAGATAGATAGATAGATAGATAGATAGATAGATAGATAGATAGATAGATAGATAGATAGATAGATAGATAGATAGATAGATAGATAGATAGATAGATAGATAGATAGATAGATAGATAGATAGATAGATAGATAGATAGATAGATAGATAGATAGATAGATAGATAGATAGATAGATAGATAGATAGATAGATAGATAGATAGATAGATAGATAGATAGATAGATAGATAGATAGACAGACAGATAGATAGACAGATAGATAGACAGATAGATAGATAGATAGATAGATAGATAGATAGATAGATAGATAGATAGATAGATAGATAGATAGATAGATAGATAGATAGATAGATAGATAGATAGATAGATAGATAGATAGATAGATAGATAGATAGATAGATAGATAGATAGATAGATAGATAGATAGATAGATAGATAGATAGATAGATAGATAGATAGATATCAAACAAAACTTCCCTTTGAACACAATGAGAAATGCGACCGTAAAGATTAACAAAAGCCAGCAAGGATAATAAAAAATATGCCATTCGAACCGCGCCTAGACTAAAGGCGACAGGTATTGATGATCTACCAGCTGAGGCCATCAAGGCAGCAGGAGAAACGGGAGCAATATGGTTAAAGAGAATATTTCAGGTGGCATGGGAAAATCAAGAAACACCATCAGATTGGCAAACTGCTGTCATTGTCCCGCTGTGGAAAAATAAAGAAAGTAAGAGGGAATGTACTAATTACAGAGGAATATCACTTCTCAGTCACACTGGGAAAATGTATGCTAAGATCATCGAAAAAAGGCTGAGACCATTGATAGAGTATCAACTTTCAGAAGCACAGATGGGCTTTCGACGAAACAGAAGTTGCACAGATGCCATTTATACATTGAGACAACTATCAGAGAGGGCAATAGAACATGATAAGACATGTTTGTTGACATTCATAGACCAAGAAAAAGCCTTCGATAGAGTCGACAGGAATATGTTGTGGGAATGTATGGGGAAAAAAGGAATCAGCAATCATCTCATTAATATTTGCAAAAGCCTGTACACACGTAGTGAATGCTGCATAAGATCAAAGGCAGGGTTGTCTAGAACTTTTATAGTGAACTCTGGTGTGCGTCAGGGCTGTGTACTATCGCCGCTTCTTTTCATAACATACATGGACGCCATATGTAGCGAAACAGACTTTAATCAGGAAGAAGATATAACAGAATTACTTTTCGCCGACGACCAGGTACTCATAGCAGAAAATATGGAATGCCTACAGAACCACCTAAATCAAATTAGTAACAAAGGGGAGGAATATAATATGAAAATAAGCACTACGAAGACAGAGACAATGATGATAGGAAGACATAAAGACAATTTAGAAATTAAATTAAAAAACAACACCCTGAGACAAACAGAGGAATTTAAGTATTTGGGAGCAATTTTTACTTCAGACGGAAAACTGGACAGAGAAATTAGCTCCAAATGTGCCAAAGCTAATCAAGTAATGGGCCAACTATCTCCCCTGTTGACACACAAGCAGATACCTCAGAGTACTAAAGTGAATCTTATCAG